ATCAGAGATTTCAGTCGCGAGATTTCCGTGCAGTCAGAGGTGGCACTAGGTGGGTGTTTGAGCCCCTACAAGAAGGGGCACAGTACCCTCACACACAACCCACTTGACTGATTCATCAATGTCTTTCATCTGTACCCCCAAAACACCCACCTTTCCTATGTCACTGACTGCAGATTCAATGCAGCAAGCAGCTGGTTTCTAAACTTTTATTCCCCTTTGAGTCCAGTGTTGAGTGTGACCGTCATGTAGCCACTCAGCATGGACCAAACAGAGCAATATACTGTACAATTTTTAAAAAGTGCATTAACATACAATGTACTGCCCAAACCTTGATATCTTATGAGAATTCTGGGATACTGTCCCATAGCTTTGATATGTTAGCTCTGAACTCTGCAAAACTGTCCAAGAGGTCTGACATATTAGCTTGGAATTCTGAGACACTGTCCCACAGTTTTGACATATTAGCTTCAGGAACAATTGAGTACTGCCCGTGATACTTTTTTTATTTGCACTAACATACAATTTTTAGGACACAATCACCTCAGACATATTAGCTTAGAATTCTGAGATACTGTCCCAGAGTTTTGACATATTAGCTCATAATTCTGAGATACGGTCCCAGAGTTTTGACATATTAACTCAGAATTCTGAGATACGGTCCCAGAGTTTTGACATATTAACTCAGAATTCTGAGATACGGTCCCAGAGTTTTGACATATTTAGATACGGTCCCAGAATTGACATATTAGCTCAGAATTCTGAGATACTGTCCCAGAGCTTTGATATGTTAGCTCACAATTCTGAGATACTGTCCCAGAGGTCTGACATATTAGCTCAGACTTCTGAGATACTGTCCCAGAGCTTTGATATGTTAGCTCAGAATTATGAGATACTGTCCAAGAGGTCTGATGTAATAGCTCAGAAGTCTGAGATACTGTCCCATAGCTTTGATATCTTAGCTCTGAATTCTGCAAAACTGTCCAAAAGGGTCTGACATATTAGCTTGGAATTCTGATGCACTTTCCCAGGGTTTTGACATATTAGTTCAGAATTCTGAGATACTGTCCCTGAGTTTTGACATATTAGCTCAGAATTCTGAGATACTGTCCCTGAGTTTTGACATATTAACTCAGAAATCTGAGATACGGTCCCAGAGTTTTGACATATTAGCTCAGAATTCTGAGATACTGTCCCAGAGGTCTGACATGTTATCTCAGAATTCTGAGATACTGTCCCAGAGCTTTGATATGTTAGCTCAGAATTATGAGATACTGTCCAAGAGGTCTGACGTAATAGCTCAGAATTCTGAGATACTGTCCCATAGCTTTGATATCTTAGCTCTGAATTCTGCAAAACTGTCCAAAAGGTCTGACATATTAGCTCTGAATTCTGAGACACTGTCCCAGGGTTTTGACATATTAGTTTAGAATTATGAGATACTGTCCCAGAGTTTTGACATATTAGCTCAGAATTCTGAGATACTGTCCCAGAGTTTTGACATATTAGCTCAGAATTCTGAGATACTGCCCCAGAAGTCTGACATATTAGCTCATAATTCTGAGATACTGTCCCAGAGCTTTGATATGTTAGTTCAGAATTCTGCAAAACTGTCCAAAAGGTCTGAAGTAGTTCTGGATTCTGAGATACTGTCCCAGAGGTCTGAATATTAGCTTGGAATCTGGGTACTGTCCAAAGGTCTGACACATATTACCTCAGAATTCTAAAATACCGTTCAAAATGTTATCTTGGAGTTCATTATTTTGAAATGACTGCAAAACTCTTTTCTAAATAGCAGTTGAAGTAGAAATAAAGCCCAAACTTTTTTTTAAATATTTTGAAAGGAGGGTTAAAAGCCCTGTCGATTTTTCACCATCTGTCCCATTGGGGATATTTCCTTTCACTTTCTGTCTCATAGCTACAACAGGAAGTGAGAATAAATAAATTCCTTCAATATTAGGGGAATCCTTGATGCCAGGGTTGCCAAAACTGGTGACCCTAAGTTTTGGCTGCAGTTGTCCTTTAATAACTTTTTTGGCTATAGCTTAGAAAGATAATTGCTAACAGAAAGCTCCCATAGAAAAAAGCAAGATGCATAATAGGGAACCTTATTGTTGCAGCCATATTTCATTGCTCTGATTGCTGTGAATTAATAAAAGATACCATTGAATGCTGTGTTATTGCACTTCGCTGCTCTTCGTGCCAAGCATTAAATGTAATTTTTGCAAGCAATCCCCGGATGGCGCTTCTCCATGCCTAACATGCTGACATCTGTCATTATCCAGATATAAGCTATTGGCTGATTCAGTCAACATGTTAAGATGTTAAATTCATCTGTGACCAGCAATGACTACAGTTCCATTTATACAGTAACATAACACAGTATATGAAATTCTATCATTGGTTGTTTACTTGGGAATGAGCATTATGGCAAAATGATAAGCAAGAATTATTGCAAGTAAATAAAAAAAATCCAGAGAACATAGTGTACAGCATGACTTGTGATACTTAACAATACTTTGCTGTTTTATAATATTAATGCAGAAATAAAAAAAAATAATAATTTTGCCAATGCTGCCAAGAAAAAAAATAAATAGTGAGATTGTAGGATTCATCAAATACTTTAACAGGTCACACGTATTATAGCCAGCATTGGGCAACAACTAGCATGCCTGTTCATAGTTGAAGAACATATAATACATTTTTGGGACTAGTTAAAGGGGTTGGGACAGAAAGTCATCATTAAACAGTAAAATAAGAATGCCAGGTAACCAAAGAGGGTTAGAAAAACGTGAAACAAATTAATCCCCTCCCCCCAGATGTCTAAAGATCGCCATGCATGGATTTAATTTTTTCAATTGACTTTTGTCAAAGAATCTGGGCAGAAAACTCTTGGCTGAACATCAGCTGCATACAGTCAGATGCAGGAACTGTTCAGGTATTCTGACAGCCGCGAGTGCCAACTGTCAGAAGACAAGAGCGGGGACTGCAGATTAGCCCATCTGTGCTGTTTAGTGTGAATGGTGGATTCTAGTGATGTCTCTTATTTATCCCATGTATGGCCAGTCAATTTCTCTAAATCTAGCCTTATATAATTATATTTTTGTTCAGCCTGAATCAAACAGATCCCTACATCTACACTATACTGCGTGGATGGACAAATCTCTCATGCAGCTATTGTATTCTTCCAGGTGTCAAAATACTGCAACAGTGGCTGCATCTGATTGGATGGTGTTACTACTGTCTGTGTTCAGAAGTTCTCCTTAAACTAGCATCTACTATAACAACCTTGTTGTTTTTCAACTGTATCTTACCATGCATAGCCAGCTTTAGTCCCGTTTCATACTATGAATCGCACAGGAACACACGCATCATTCCTGTTTGATTCACATGCGATTCCGTGCAGTGCGATTTGAGTCCATTCATTTTGAATGGGCTCAAATCACACTGCATTGCGCCAAAAGTAGTTCATGCACTACTTTTGGAAACATACTACAACCAGTTCACTTGGTACTTTTTTACCATGTGATCCAATGCCTACTAACGCACTGCGTTAGCAACCTTCAGCACTACTTTTGGAAACGCACTGCAACTGGATCACTTGGTACTTTTGTACCATGTGCTCCGATGCAGGCAAATGCACTGCATTAGCAACCTTCATTTGGGATGTCAATAACTTCACATTAACACTTGCTGCAGATCTCAACTGTAGTGCGTTTTGAACATGGTGTGTGGTTTTCCCCACCGCATTCTAGTGTGAACTTAGCCTTAAAGTATAACTAAAAGCAAAACATTTTTTTGGTTTGGTTAGAGTGCAGATGATGCCTGTGCTCCCGTTAGGAGATTCACTTCCTCTATTTTTCTTGTTTACCGTGATCACTGAAAGTGAAAGTAAATCCTACATTCTGGGCTGTCACCAGAACAGGAATAGATGGGAAATCTTCGAAAGGGGACACTAATTCGCTGGTGACAACAACAACCCACTTCCTGTTTTGGCTGTGAATTAGAACATGAATGGAAATCTCCTTAAAAGGAACACAGAAGGCAAAACAAACCTAACAGGGGTTATAACCTTCCTATAATGTATCCAAATGAAAAAACTTTTCAGGACCATTAAAGTGGTTGTAAAGTTTGAAGGTTTTTTTTTACCTTCACGCATTATTCTATGCATGAAGGTAAAAAACCTTCTGTGTGCTGCTCCCTCCGCATCCCCCTAATACTTACCTGAGCCCCATCTCGATCCAGTGGTGTGCACGAGAGCCTTGGCTGTCCCAGGTCTCTCTCTCCTCATTGGCCGAGACACACCGGTGAGCCAATGAGGAAAGAGCGGGGGGGGCAGGGCCCAAGTTGTGGCTCTCTGTGTCCTATATAGCAGGACTTGGGAGCAAGCACGCACCAGTGCTCCTATAGCAAGCAGGTTGCTATTGGGGGCACTGGTCAAGGGGGAGGAGCCAGGAGCACCAGCGGGCGGACCGGAGAAGAAGAGGATCGGGGCTGCTCTCTGCAAAACTATTGAACAAAGCAGGTAATGATAACATGTTTGTTATTTTTCAAAGAAAAAAAAACCTAAACTTGTACATACTGGCTTATAGGAAAGGTATGGGTACTGAGTTCTCCTAAGGCAACATATTTTCTCACAATTATTTGTTTTTGATCACAATTACAAAGATCCTAGGCAACTACATTCTAAAGGTCATAGATCAAGAGGGCACATGGACCCACAATCTCTGTGGAGCACAAAGTAGCTACATACTGTAAGTTGTCATGTCTGTTGTTTTACCCCTGCATAATTGCTGCATTACATTTTTATCAACCAAGAAATAATACGTCTTTTTGGCTGTATGCAGACCCTGGTGATTGTGAGGAAAAAGATTCCCGATTCCAACATCAAGACATTGGAAAGCAGCAATGCAATAACCATCACTGAAATAAAGACATGGTTAGAGATTTTTGGAGTCCCAGCTACCACCATCTCTTTGTGGCATAATCAAATATTTCCTTACCTTAACCCCATCATTCTTCTTGTTGCTGCCACTCTTGCCTCCTAGGAAAAGAAAGCAGGCAGTGAGAAGAGCCAATCCAGGAACCAGCAGGATACCGAAGATCAGAAAAAGCATAGTGACCAGTTGTTTGTCTTCAAAGTTCCTGACAAGAACTGACATCAAGCTGGGATAGGCTCAAATGACAAACATTCCTAGACAAGCTGCATTTTAATCAATACAAATTCCACTTTCTGTTGTCCAAATATATACATCAGTTAGGATCCAGTTCAATCATTTTTCGATATGCAGTTCACTTTCACTAGACCAATAAACTTTCTTCAGTAATCTCCATTCATGGCATGTATGCCTTTAACCATGAGCTTCTACCAGTAGAGTGAAGCTCTCATTCATTCTATAGTCAGTCCCTTGACTCCTGGTATCTGAGTCTCCTGTCAGCTTGACTTGCCCTGCTGAAGGCACATTTCTCCTTTTCCGCTCATCCTCTGAGTTGTATCTTTATTTCCAGTCTGTGTACGCCAAGCCCTCACTGCTCACCTCTCTAATAATAGCCCTTTAATGCTTTGGTCATTTGAAGCAAGTATCCCACAAAGACAGCTGCACAAGTATATGATAAACAGTTTGTCAGTCTATATCTCTTGCTCCCTCGTTCAGTCCTTAAGTGTGACCCAAAATGTCCTGTGGATGGCTTCCAACAGACATTCCACTCGGGGAGAGGAGTGCAGTCAGCAGAAGCCTTTGGAAACAGGAAATATCTTACTAACACTCACTTTACCCATCTATATAACATGAGTTCAAATGAACACAAGAAAAATGTTTTGTAAAACTCTAAAATATGTTTTTTAAAACTGGAAGAAGAATAAATGAAACCTGTGTTGGGAGAAATATGCCGCTGTCATTACAGACCTCCCCTTCTGAAAAAGCTAGTTGCCTAACTATTGTGCTGATCCAGTTGCATCAATACTTCCAGATGCAGATTTGTTGCTCATTGGGTCTGTGAAGCAGAAAAAAAGCCAAGCAATGGTTGCCCCTTGTTTTTCTTTATTTAAACAACCTGTACTGACCATAGCAACCATATTAGTTTATTTATTTTGTTTTCTAATGTTGCCTGGAACAACTTACAGCCATAATGCAAGAAAAAAAAGACTGCCCAAAGGATTTTGTAAAGCAAGTGAACAATCCAAATGCACACATTGCTGCATTACAAATGGCTGTGTGTATAAGTGGGTGCTGCAGCAACCATTGGCTGGAACCGAACAGAATCAGCATGCCTGATGAAGGGGTCCTGTGAGACTCCGAAACATTGTCTTGCTGTAACTATGTGATCTTTCATTTAAAACGTTTGAACCCATAGTGGTGATCCTTGGTGTGCTGGGCATTCTTCCAAAGGATTTTGTAAGACACATCAGAGACAATAAAATTTACATTTTATTGTGGTTAAACATATTGAAAATAATCAAAATAGGTATAAAAACCTTAATAAACAAAACATTGATATGCATTTATAAATGTGAGTAATTACAGATATATTTAACATCACAGATGATTCACATTGGTTGAGCTCACATTGCACAAATCTTGATGCGTTTCGTGAGACAACGATCACTTCCTCAGGAGATGTGAGAGCTCATACATGTCTGTGGGGAAACCAGGTTTCTTCTCTGATGTGCCTCACAGAGTCCCTTGGGCACTCTTTTTTCTTGTATTGTTGCAGTTATACATGGGGCCAAGTCACATTATGGCCACATGCTTCAGCCTTTCATTTTGAAAACAACTTACAACAACCTCGCTACCACCGAAGAGGTCCTCAAGGTCTTCTCAGAAGCCCGCCTCACCACCTGCCCCTGGACCCTGTCCCCTCACAACTCCTTCGGTCACCCTCCTCCTCCATCCTATGCTCCCTCACTCACATCTTCAATCTTTCCCTCTCTACAGGTGCCTTCCCCTCCCCTCTAAAGCATGCGCACATCACTCCCATACTTAAAAAACCCTCCCTAGACCCCACCAACCTGAACAACCTAAGACCCATCTCCCTGCTGCCATTTACCTCTAAACTCCTAGAACACTTAGTCTACAATCATCTGAGCTCCCACCTCACTGACAACAACCTTCTCAACCCTTTACAGTCTGGCTTTGGCCCTCTACACTCCAGTGAAACTGCCCTACTAAAACTCTCTAATGACCTACTAACTGCAAAAACCAACGGCCACTATTCAATACTCCTACTACTCGACCTCTCCGTGGCTTTTGACACGGTTGACCATCCCCTCCTCCTCAAAAAACTACACTCTCTTGGCCTCAGAGACTCCGCTCTCTCCTGGTTCTCCTCCTATCTATCACAGTGCTCCTTCAGTGTTACCTATAACGCTGCCACCTCCTCTTCACTCCCTCTCTCTGTAGGGGTCCCTCAAGGTTCTGTCCTTGGACCCCTTCTCTTCTCCATCTACACCTCCTCCCTTGGTCACTTGATAAACTCCCATGGCTTCAATTACCATCTCTATGCTGATGACACGCAAATATATCTGTCTACCCCTCACCCCTTCAGTCTCCACCCGCATCGCTAGCCTACTAAGTGACATATCAGCTTGGATGTCACTTTACTTCCTCAAACTCTACCTTTCCAAAACTGAGCTCCTAGTATTCCCCCCTGCCCCTGCCACCTCCACTGACTTCACATAAATATCGATAACACAATCATTAGTCCATCCCCTCATGCCAGGGTACTAGGTGTAATCCTAGACTCCCATCTGTCCTTCCAGCCCCAGATCCAATCGCTGACAAAATCATGTAGACTTCACCTCTGCAACATCTCCAAGATACGACCATTCCTAACCCTCGGAAACCACTAAGCAACTTATTCACTCCCTTGTCATATCACACCTCGACTACTGTAACTCCCTCCTCATTGGCCTACCTCATCGCAGGCTATCCCCCCTTCAGTCTATCATGAATGCTGCTGCCAGACTCATCCACCTCACTAACCGCTCTGTATCTACCACCCCTCTCTGCCAATCCCTCCACTGGCTCCCAGTTGCCCAACGGATAAAATTCAAAACACTAACTATGACATACAAAGCCATCCACAACACTGCCCCAATTTACATATCAGATCTTATCTCTAAATATCACCCAAACCGTACACTCTGCTCCTCGCAAGACCTCCTACTCTCTAGCTCCCTTATCTCCTCCTTCCATGCTCGTCTCCAAGACTTCTCCAGGGCGTCACCCATCCTCTGCAACTCCCTACCCCAATCTATCAGACTATCACCTACTCTACTTACCTTTAGGCGATCATTGAAAACCTATCTCTTCAGGGAAGCCTATCCCGCCCTCTGCTAATACTGGAATCCTCTACGCTTCCAACCACTCCATCCCCCACAATTTTACCTATTGTACCACTCACCCCTCCCTCCTAGATTGTAAGCTCCAAGGAGCAGGGCCCTCAATTCCCTCTTGTATTCAACTGTATTGTTACTGTATTGTCTCCCACTATAATGTAAAGCACTGAGCAAACCGTTGGCGCTACATAAATCCTGTATAATAATAATAACTTACACCCTTAAACAGGCAATACACAGATCACATTTTTGCTGATTTGCCTGGATTTTGTTGCGTGCTGGCCCTATCGGCATCACTCAGCTTGACAAAAGTCGATCTTTCTATGAAAGGAGCTAGGTAGAAACTTCCTAGCCAAACAGTGCCTGCATCCAATCAGATGCAGGAACAGTTTGGGCATTCTGATACAAAATGCAATAGCTGGCCCTATGGATATGTCCATCTACTGTTGATGCGGGAATGGAGTGATTTCCTTCATTCCTCTGAATGGGTATGCACATACTGTCCTTATCAGGGCTGCATGATTGTTCTCATTTTTTTTTTTTTTTGTGGTCTGTGAATGAAGGCAGACCTGTTTTCCCAATGCACAGATTATGGTATACAGTGGAGGATAGGCCACAGTATAGGCACTCAGCAGCAAATGATTGTATCTCCTAGATTGTAAGCTCCAAGGAGCAGGGCTCTCGAACCCCTCGTGTATTGAATCGTATTGTTACTGTACTGTCTCGTGTACTGTCTCCCATTATAATGTACAGCGCTGAGCAAACTATTGGAGCTATATAAATCCTGTATTATAATAATAATAATGGAAAGAATCAACTAACTTGCTCTCCTTAGACAATCAGATGATCTAATTAGAATATGACTTATCAGAAATTTTTTTCTCCTCAGATATTCAAGTCTCAAAGCACAGGTTCTTATTTTTAGACACTAAACTCAAGGAAACCTGGATTGAGCCATAGCACCAGAATATTTTCTTTATTCCCACGTAGGTTACACGATGGCTCTATAGTGTTCTGAAAATGTTCTGTTTTATTATGTTTTAGTCAGGGGATGAGATGGGGAAGATTTGTAAAAAACTAGAAAGCATTTTGTAGTTCACCCCCTGCTATCCCCCAAACCAATGGAAGCACTGGTATTATTCTAGTTATTTATTATATGCCATTGCTATGTTGTAGTTAGTACCACATGTACAGCAGGCACTCCCTGAGTGCATAGAATAGCATTTGGTTGATAGGATGGTTATAGGATAGATCTTGGTAATTGCTTCTATACTATATTGATATTGCATGTAAAAGATAAGATTCATTGTTGTGGCAGATACAAATGCTTCTAACCAGGCAAGCACAGCATCCCACTTTTGCACACATATGGGAGGATTAAAACTTACAGTGAAATGGTTTTGAGCGTTGGAGTGGGATGATGGAAAATGGTCAATTTCCTTTAAAGTTCATATAGGCGTAAGATAATTGCCTGTTTAATTGACTTCAACTAAATCAGGTGGCAGTCATTTTGCACAGGGATTGCCTGCAAATTCTCCTATACATGATAAGCTTCCATATCAAGCAAAAATGAGCATGAATATCTATGTAATGATCATCTCTAAAGACAAACATGTGGAAGCCAGATCACACCTGCTTGTTGACCTATTGCCAGCAGTGTTCTCTGTCCTGTCTGTATTCTCTGCAGTGAAAATGGTACTATAATACACAAAGAAGTGGTTATCACTTACCAGAGAAATTCCTGGTTGCCAGCATTGTGGTCAAGATAGCACCCTAAATTTGCAACAGAAAACACAATTATGAGAGCAATTAGATACTAAGAGGTAATCTTATTAATCTGTATAGATATATCCAAAGTAAAGATTTACTTTTAAAGAAGTTTTTTAAAGTCTAAATACACTGTTCAATATATTTATCAACATGCCTCTCTGTATCAGATTTGACAAGCAAATCATTATTTGTGAATCTATTGCAAAGTTTCGTACCTAGAAAACCAGCCAGTAACAGCAATTTCTGTTGCATACTGGCAACTCTAAGTGGTTGCCTTGTAGTTTGCAGCAGTATTGCCATGTGTACACCTTCAGTTGGCCATTGGGCTGCCTATCAGGTCTATCAGGAACAACAGCCAACTGAAGGAGCTCACATAGCAGGCTGAATGTGTTGCTGCTAATTGTGAGATAGTGACTTATTATTGTCAGCCTACAAGCTAAAATAAAGTGCTGTTACTGGCAAGATCTCCAGTATGAAATTTTGCAATATATTCATAAAATACAGTGAGACATCATGTCAAACATGTATTTTGGGTTTACATACACTTTAAACCAAAGGACTGTGCAAGGGACCAGAAGGTATTCATTGGGTATGGAGGAAAAGAGAGCTTATTAGTATAAGAAAACACTTTTATAGTAAGAGCAATTAAACTGTGATATCTCCTACTACAGGACAAATGACAAATTAAAAAAAAAAAAAGATGTGAATATTTTTCTTACAGCGAATGGAATTTGGAAGCATTATAGTGTATTTAAAGCCAAAAAAAGTTTTTCATTTTGGATAGAGTGGTGAAGGGTTTAGAAACTTTGTATGGTTTTTATTGGTGTCTGCAAAGTACTTTATATCAGTTTAAAGCTAATAAAGTCAAAACTAATATATTAGTGGAGCTTTTGGCATTAGAGTTCCAGATCTTGTTCCAATCTGCAGTACTTGCATGGTCAAAATCAGGCCTGGGACATGTAAACCAATGCAACATCTATTTTCAAAGTTTATGAGAAGGGATGTCAAGACACGCTGTTAAAGTAAGGAAGAAATTAAATGCTGATGTTACCTATAATGAAAGGCAATTGTGTTGGGTGCTTCATGAGTTTCCCACAAGTACTGTAAGGTTTTGATGCTGGTGAATGTTAGTAAAGTATAGATATCCAAGAAACCCTTGCATATCCACCAGCCTTTGCATATTCCCATCATTGCATTCGTGATGGGAAGAGAAGACACCTTCTTATTCCAACCTGGGGCAAGTGGAGCAAAATGATTCTTCCAAAGTATTTTTTTACTTTAAGGGTGGGCATACTTATGTCATTCCTAGGTTGGAATGGAGGGATAACCTGATTAGTGAGAAAATTGCTACCTTCTGTTTTCGCATATAACAAGGCTAAGGTTGCTATGTGTGCTGCTTATAATAATTTGCTAGTATAGAAATCCTATATAAGTCCTCTCTAAGTTTTTGAAGATATGATGTGGTTCTATTGATTCTGGGTCTTGTGGTGCCCTATATAAAGTGCATTAATATGTTTTGGAGAGAGCAACCCTTACTGGTAGCACTCAAAAGAGTAAGCAACTTAGGAAGGTTAGTCATGTTTATGGCATTTATTTGCCTGTCAAGATATGTGGTAGGGGTTACAGCTCTCCAACAATGTACTAAATATGTAGATGAATGGAAGAAAGCTTGCCCTGTATGATGGGTCACATGTTAGAGTAAGATGAATGCCTAAGTAGGGGGGGTGATTGGTCCAACTGAAAGTAAAGCTTCATTGCGCTGACTGGAGGGTTTCTGGATTCAATGAGACATTTATAGCTTTAGAGACTGCAGTAAATTTGTTCAAAGTTTGCAGTTGGCAAGGGAATAAGATGTGGGGTTAAGTAATAAAGAAAATATCATTAATAAACATAGTAAGTTTGTTTAGGCAAACTATGTCTAGGCCCTTGATATCTCTGTGCTGATGAAGAGAAGTGGGAAAAACGTGAATCCCTGAAATTGATTAGATTGGTATCTACAGTATCTTACCATGTATCACAGGGTTGGTCATGTAACTAGGTCATGTAAGTAGCTACCAGCCACTTAGGAAGTTTTCCTTGAAACCCCCTCCCCATTAATGTATATGGCTAGGATATCATGTCAAAGGCTTTTTCCATATCAATGGACTGTGGGAATATTTCTTGTGAGCATTTCTGGGTAGGGTAAGTAAGATAAAGTATTTTGCTTGCCTAGGGAGGACGAATCCAGTTTGTAGTAGTAGTATCCCAGTTAAGGATCTTTGTGAATATTTCTAAATCTATATTGAGAAAAGAAATGGGTCTGAAATTCAACCTGGTTTTGGTAATTTTTTTTTGGCTTCTGCTTCAATCACAATATGGGAACAATTTACAAGCCTATCCAAAATTGTGTAAAAAAAAAAAAAAAAAAAAGTTTGGCTTTGGATATACTGTATAGATACTTCACATTTTTGATGTTTGGATTACACACGCTGTGTGCTTGTTTAAATTGTTTTTTTTTTGTCATTTTGGTTTTAATTATTTTAATAATATCCTCATTTTAATAAACAGGGCATCCAGGACACTTAGCTTATTTCTTTTTCTAATAAACAAATCTGTGTATAACACGATCTTAAAACAAAATGTACTGCGATTATACAACAAGAAGTTATGCATGCTGGGGGCCTATACAAAGTAATATAATGATTGTATACTGATCATGTACTTCCTTTAATATAAATAAAGCATTAAATTGTGGCTTAGAGGACATACAACTTGGCACATTTCATCACTTACAGCCTACAGAATGATTTACGGACTCCTATGAATAAAGCGATAGTGTTAATAATCTGCTAATACCCCACATTGTTGAAAGTGATCCAGGGTAAATAGAAAATCACTGCACAATATTCTCTATTGCTCTGCCAAAGCTACAAATGTACAATGCTTCCGTATTTACAGCTTCATAATTAGAACACTCCATACAAAGAAAGGATTCCTGAGAATACTTGTGTGGGATTACTCTAAATGTCACAGCGGAAATATGATTTCAGATTACAATAAACACCACAAAGGTTTTTTTGTTGTTAGTTTCCTTGTGCAGGGACAGGCATAGGGTATATTGCCATCTGGGGGGCTAACAGAATAAGGGAGACTGAGTGGGTTTAAATGTAAAGGGGCAAGGTTGTTTTGAAACATGAACACAGAATCCACTCCTTTTTGACACGTTAATACCATTTCAAAAACTACTGGAGCCAGCATAGTGTGTGTGCTTTTGTGTCTGAACTGGCAGCAGCACCTTTTTCATCCCTCAAAGATTCAGTCCATGCCAGGGGGCGGACTGACAACTCATGGGGCCCCCGGGCAATAGGGGATCATGGGGCCCCTGTGTCCTTGCCCTAACTCAAAAAAGCCTATGAAAAAGGTACCAGGGGCATCTCATGGGGCCCCCTACTGACCCCGGGCCCTCGGGCACTGCCCGAGTTTCCAAATGTTTAGTCCGCCCCTGGTCCATGCAGTACAACCCATGGGCCCTTAAAATGTTTTCTCTCTTATACAAAGATTGAATTCTCCTAGGAAGTTGACATTTGGCTGTGCACCTTCCCACATCCCATGTCTCATGATTAGCAGGTAAGACTGCCCATCAATGAATGAGTGACTCAGGGAGGTGGACAAAAATAAGGAGAGTGCCAGCTGCCTATTGGGAAGTTTGTCTTGGAATATCAGAAGTCCACAACTTTAGGATCAGCCAGGGTGGTCTGGATGGCAAGTGCCACTGAGCTGGTTTAAGTGTATAGATTACTAAAAAAAGAACATAGGAAAAAAGGTTTTAGGTTGGCTGAGCTTCAAAAGAGTTTTGTAACTCCACTTTTCTTTTACTGTTCTTTTGCTGTATTTTCACACAAATACCCAGAGGTAGCAGGACAAGGGAGAACATGTAGGACCCCTATGATTAAGTCCCAGTGAATGGGGCGAAACATGTCAGGGGGCATGGCGTGAGGAGCAGCATTGACTGAGGCTTTCACATCTATGCATCCACACTTGGATTTGCTATGGTGAGCAGCAATTTTATGCTTAAATGTTCATTGCTCACTGGATGAGTTTTTCTCATGCTGGCATCCCTACTATCCCGAGTGCCAATGAGGCCCTACACCTCAGCCTGGAGCGGCACCACCAAGTACTAATGGCCTTAATGTAAAGCAACCACAATTCATTGGTGTTGTGTTCCCCTTATAAACCTTCTTTCCCAGGCACTGACCTATGAGTATATTGCACATATAACCCTGGGAAGAGGAAAAATAACTTAATAATCTACTTTTCAGAGATGACTGAATAGTTCTTTCTCATGATTATAGTTCAATATGTACCTTCAGCTTCCTCCTGGCATTGAACTTCTTCAGGCAGTCGACTGTCTCCTGTCTGTGCATACAGGAAGCCACTGTAGAACGGTGCTGAAAGAGAAATGATCAAATTCAGTATCTACACACAGACGGTAAAGATAAGTATATGAGGGATTAGATAATGGTTCTGGTAGTGAAAGAAGGATCCACTCACGGAAATCCATGGGTGTTTCAGTGCTTCAGCAGCAGTTATTCTTTTTGAGGGGTTTATGGTCAACATCTTGTTAATGAGGTCCTTTGCTTCTGGAGTTACTGTGTCCCACTCAGGGGAAGGAAACTGATCGATGAAAGGGGGAAAGAACAAGTTTTATTACTGCTTACAATACAATTGTAAAAAAAAAGAGTCATTGTCAGGGGCGGAACTGACAACTCATGGGGCCCCCGGGCAATAGGAGATTATGGGGCCCCTGTATCCTCGCCCACACCCAAAAAAGCCTATGAAAAAGCCAATGAAAGGTACCAGAGGCATCTCATGGGGCCCCCTACTGACCCGGGCCCTCGGGCAGTGCCCGAGTGCTCAAATGGTCAGTCCACCCCTGGTCATTGTTAAAAGATTTCCCAAGACCTTAAATGCAGCAGCAGTCAAACAATGTTTCTTGGCTTGAATTCCTTTAGCACTGGTAGCTGGGCAAATGTAGATGTAAAGGCAAATTAGGCCCCCTGTTCCTTATCTACATGTAACCACAGGGTGTAGTAGTGTCTTTGCTGTAGATAGTAAAATTTTAGGTTTGTTACCGGTATTATTTCCTACTTATGTTAGGACTCCTATAGGTTACAGTACAAAGACTTACAAAAGCACCACATATTCACATATTTTGAGGAATGGACCCAAGTAAGTCATTACATCCTGATTTTAGATGCATGTTTTAGATGCTTGTCTCCAGGACTTCTCCCGAACTTCTCCCATCCTATGGAACTCCCTACCCCAATCTGTTCAACTATCCCCTAACCTATCCACTTTTAGACGATCCCTGAAAACCATTCTCTTTAAAGAAGCCTATCCTGCTTCTAACTAGTAAACTGTCTTTTATTTCCTCCAGCAGCTCGTCCCCCAGAGCTATTACCTTTTGTATCACTTGACCCTTCCTCCTAGATTCTAAGCTCTAACGAGCAGGGCCCTCTGTTTCCTCTTGTACCAAATTTTATTGGAACTATTATGTCTACCTGCATTTTGTAAAGCGCTGCACAAACTGTTGGTGCTATATAAATCCTGTATAATAATAATTGTTATTAGTCCTGCTAATTAGTTTGGTATGATGCTGTGGAATTTTGTTGTTTTTCTTGTAGTTTTCCCTTTGCTTCATCTGTTGGTTGTAAACTTGACTGAGCTGGTTGCGACTCTCTCATACCTCTTATGCTTGCAATAAGTGGGACAATAACATACAGTGGCTCGACCAGCATAGCTTACAAAAATCTCCAATAGCAGAGGAAAGGCATATAGATACCATTTTCATTGTATAATTTCTTCCTTAGCACACATGGAAACCTTGCTAAACTGAGGCATTTTATCCATGACTGCCAGTGGACCACATCTTTCTCTGCTTTGCTGACTTCATCCAGGCAATATAAGTTATATCAAGCAAGCATCCTCCAGATTTAGCTTGTGCCTGTCCTTGTCCAACTAAAAGGACACTAAGACAGTTACTTTAGATCACAAGCACCCCTTAGTGCTTTTTAGACATGTGCAGTTTGTTTCATTCCGAATTGAAATTCGGACACATTTTCTGTTATACAAAGATTCAGATGTATCCAAATTCCGAATTACAATAGTAATGAATTTAAACTAATCTGAAATAATGAAACAAAATTTGGCTGAAATTCGAATTGATTCAAATTTGAAAAACACATTCGCAAACAAATTCGAAAACAAATTTGAAAACAAATTCGATTTTGAAAACAAGAATAGAATAAAATAGAACAGAAAATAAAGAAATAGGAAAGAACAGAACAGAATAGAAAATAATAGAATAGAAAAGAATAGAGGAAAAAGAACAGAATAGAACATAAAAGAATAGAACAGAATACAGTAGAAAATAATAGAGTAAAACAGAGCAAAATAGAATAGAAAAAAAGGAATAGGATAGAATCAATTAGAATAGAAAAAAATAGAAAAGATTAGAATAGAATAGCAAATCAAAGAATAGGATAGAAAATAATAGAAAAGATTAGAATAGAATAGCAAATCAAAGAATAGGATAGAAAAGAATAGAAAAGATTAGAATAAAGAATCAAAGAATAGAATAGAATAGAATAGTATAGAAAAACAATAGAATAAAATAAAATAAAAAGAATACAACTGCCTTCCAAAATGCAAATTTTGAATAGAATGAATTTGAATTTAAACAGAATATGTTAGAATATAGTATAAAAGAATATAAAAGAATAGAATAGCTTAGAAAAGACTAAAATACTTTACAGAAAATTGTGAACTGCCCTATTGTGACTTGAGTAGTGATCAACAAAGGCACTGTGAAAAATTTAGCAGAAATAGAAATTTCCGATATGGTCATGCATATACATAGCCCATATACCATAAAAACCATATATGGATTGTGGATTATGGATTGTAACCTTAGAATTATTATTGAACTTGTTAGAATTATTTTCTAATCTGTTAGAATTGCTTTCGAATCCAATCAAATTATTTTTGAATCCGTTAAAATTATTTTCAAATTTATTCACAATTTCAAATTCAGTTGAATTCGAATAAAGGAAACAAATTCTGAAAAATGAATTAAACGAATTTAACTAATCAAACAAAATGAAATGAGTCAAATAATGAAATGAAATGAAACAAAATAAATTTTTTCATCTTGCACATGTCTAGTGCCTTGCATGCAATAAGATCTGGTTTCAGGACTGGTTATCTGTAGAAATATGGACTCTCTAAACGAAATCAGTCAAAGTCAAAACAAAACAAAAAAAAACTATTTGTTTTCATTTTGCACATGTCTAGTGCCTTGCAGTTAATATTATGGGGTTTTAGGACTGGTTATCTGTAGAAATATGGACTCTCTATATACAGTGGGGATCAAAGGTTTGGGCACCCCAGCTAAAAATTTGTATTAATGTGCATAAAGAAGCCAAGGAAAGATGGAAAAATCTCCAAAAGGCATCAAATTACAGATTAGACATTCTTATAATATGTCAACAAAAGTTAGATTTTATTTCCATCATTTACCCTTTCAAAATAACAGAAAACAAAAAAATGGCAGAGTTAATATCTTGTACTGCCCCCTTTGGCAAGTATCACAGCTTGTAAACGCTTTTTGTAGCCAGCCAAGAGTCTTTCAATTCTTGTTTGAGGTATCTTTACCCATTCTTCCTTACAAAAGTCTTCCAGTTCTTTGAGATTTCTGGGCTGTCTGTCACGCACTGCTCTTTTAAGGTCTATCCATAGATTTTCAATTATGTTGAGGTCAGGAGATTGTGAAGGCCATGGCAAAACCTTCAGTTTACGCCCCTTTTTTTATTCCCCCGTGGATTTCGAGGTGTGTTTAGGATCATTATCCATTTGTAGAAGCCATCCTCTGTTTAACTTCAGCTTTTTCACAGATGGCATCAAGTTACCATCCAAAATTTGCTGAAATTTTATTGAATCCATTTTTCCTTCTACTCGTGAGATGTTCCCTGTGCCACTGGCTGCAACACAACCCCAAAGCATGATTGACCCAACCCCATGCTTAACAGTTGGACAGAGGTTCTTTTCATTAAATTCTGTGCCCCTTCTTCTCCAAACGTACCTTTGCTCATTCCGGCCAAAAAGTTCAATTTTAACCTCATCGGTCCACAGAACTTATTTCCAAAATGCATCAGGCTTGTCTATATGTTCATTTGCAAAGTTCAAACGATGATTTTTGTGGTGAGGACGTAGAAGAGGTTTTCTTCTGATGACTCTTCCATGAAGACCATATTTGTACAAGTATCTCTTTATAGTGGAATAGTGTACCACAACTCCAGTGTCTGCCAGATCTTTCTGGAGGGATCGTGCAGTCAAACGTGGGTTTTGAATTGTTTTTCTCACAATCCTGCGAGCTGTTCTGTCTGATATTTTTCTTGGTCTTCCAGATGTTGCTTTAACTTCCACTGTTAATAATGACTGCCATTTCTTAATTACATTCCGAACAGAGGATATTGACATCTGAAAACGCTTTGCTATCTTCTTATAGCCTTCTCCAGCTTTGTGAGCGTCAACTATTTTCAGTTTCAGTTTTCTAGACAACTGCTTAGAAGAACCCATGGTGCTGATTGTTGGGGCAAGGTCAGATGAGTCTGGGCATTTAAAACCTTTGAGATTGACATCACCTGGTCTTCCCAGACGATGATTGAGATGATTGAGAACAATCCATGACACTGGCAGGTCTCAGCTTGGCATAGGGGGCAGTGCATGCTATAAATTCTGCAGGGTGCCCAAACTTTTGCAGACACATTTTTTTGTTTTCTGTTATTTTGAAAGTGTAAATGATGGAAATAAAATCTAACTTTTGTTGACATATTATAAGAATGTATAATCTGTAATTTGATGCCTTTTGGAGATTTTTCCATCTTTCCTTGGCTTCTTTATGCACATTAATACAAATTTTTAGCTGGGGTGCCCAAACTTTCGATCCCACTGTATCTATATATCAAGTGCTATTTCTGAGTCCTGCTAAATGAATCCTACATTTGCAGTGTTACGCCTGTTCCCTGCTCTTCTTCAAGTCTAAGTTGAGGACTAAGGTCTGTTTTCCCAGATACCTTTGTAAACTGTTATCATAAACATTTGTCTATACAGACCACCAATCTTGCATAGTAATATATTTACTGAATGTTTTTGTATATAACATCAAAACAGTTCAGAACAAAATCTTACAATTTCCTTACAATAATCTTCTTATCCAATAGCTTTTTTTATGGTTTCCCACATTTTTTAGCCATTATGTCAACATACGCAGCTCAGTAAGATAAACCGGAATTTTGTCCAGTAGATTTACTTACATCGTAAGCTCCTGCTTTGATCTGCTGATACAGCCTGTGCTGATCTTCATCCCAAAAAGGTGGGTAGCCAACAAGTAAGATGTATAGAATAACTCCTAATGGAAAAGGAAATTGATGCAATGATCAGAATATACAATTGACTGTAAATAAAGGTGATATTTGGAGAGATCTGGAGTGAAATCTGGCTATTATTGGACTGCTCAGCCTCAATCAGTAAAGTTCATTGCAGCTTATATACACATTTTGAGGCTGGGCCCTATGTGATAGTCTTGGGTAATGGTATTAGCTCATAATAATATTTAAAGGAAAGCCCAGACAAGGTATGGTCACATTCACAAATGAAGGTTGGGTCTTGGGTAATGGTGCTTTATATGCCAGGTCTGCTTCTTACTTTCAGATTATACATGTCAAATAGAAAGAAAGCCAGTCAGACAGTTATCATGGTATATTATTGGCTGACAACAGAAGATATCACAAAAATAGACACTATGGATTCACTAAGATCACAGTCCTCCTGTTACCCAGGTCTGCGACTAAAAAGTTGTTTGATTATTTTCATCTAATTTTCATGTATTTTGGTGTGCTGAAAACAAATAAAATATTGAAAAAACTCCTAGATGTTATGATTTGCCAAAAAATGCAAAATTGTCTTCAAATTTATCAAATTTTTTTAATTTTTGGTATTTTTTTTATATTATGGGTTTTTAACCAAATTTAAAGTCCAAATTACTATTAATTAATTCACATAAGTGCATTTAACATATAAAATGTCAAAAAAACCTTAAAGGGGTTGTCCGAGTTATGTAAAAAAAAATATAGCACTGTAAATCTGATGGTCAGCAATATATACATAAGCTAAGCAAGTTTTAGGGAAACAAAATTCTATTTCCTCATTTCCCTAGTTCTCTTCTGGCCCTTTGTTGTTATTTGCAGGCAAACAATCAATGCCCCTCCCCCCCTGCAAAGGGGGTGAATACAAGTGCTGCTCTGAGTGAAATGTCTGACTACTGGGATACTCAGCAGCATGCTGTATGTGTAAGCCTCAACCCTGAGTCTGTGCTTCTAATGGTAGAAGGGGTTAATCTTTCCTGAAGAATCCAGTGGGTGGGATACCAAATACCCTTGTTTTCTGTGTCTATGGGACATTTGAGACCGACAAAATCACTGGACCAAGAAGAGTTGGCAGCCGAGGGTGCTAACAGTCGGTGAAAAAAATGTCCTCCGAGAAACTTTGGTACCTTCCCATAAAGTTCTTCTACCACCTCTCCACATAAAATTGGGATTGATGAAGCAATTTGTAAAATCACTTCCAAGAGATGGAGAATGCTTCAAATACTTGGTTACCAAGTTTCCAGGCCTGTCGGAGGCAAAATTGAAGGAAGGTGTGTTTGTCTGACCAGACATTAGAAGGCTTATAGTTGATCAAGAGTTTGTCAATACCATGACAGATCCTCAAAAGAAGGGTGGATTGCATTTAAAGAAGTCGTACAGAAATTTTTAGGAAATAACAAAGATCCTCACTACAAAAAGATCGTCAGATGAATGCTGAAAGCATTTCAAGCTTTAGGTTGCCTGATGAGTTTGAAAGTGCATTTCCTCCAGTCCCACCTTGACTACTTTCCTGAAAATTTGGGAGCTGTGAGTGAGGAACAAGGTGAACGATTCCACCAAGACATTAAAGAGATGGAAAGGAGATACCAGGGAAAATGGAGCATTACAATGATGGCAGACTACTGTTGGATGCTTCAGAGAGACATTCCAGATGCTACTCACAAGCGTAAATGCACCAAGAGGAGCCTCACAGGTTTAGTGTGTGTAGGTGAGCTCATTTCAGTTCAAAAAAGGATTTTCATGAAAAAATTTATATAAAACTTAAATTTTATAAGTCTATTTCCATTTATTGTGAGGTATTGCCTTATTTAACATAGTTACCTAAATTGTCAGGAAACGTGATGTCCTATGACAAAATGGAGGTCATTTTCGGATTCAGCGCACCAAAAAAAACATAAAGATTACGTGGAATAACCAAAACAGCTCTTGAAAAAAATTTTTTTGCAGACCTGTGTAAAGAACTACCATTAAACCATATCAATTTGTAACTGAAATAGGTTGAAGAGATGCAAGTTGTTAAATTACTGCATGGATAAGTGGAGAGATACAGTAAATGTGGGTATCTGTAGAGAAAAAGGTAGAATAATTTAGAAAGACTCTTAAGACAGAATAAATAGATGATCAATAGATGGATAGATGAAAGATAGATAGACAGATACATAGATAAATAAATAGATAGATAGATAGATAGATAGATAGATAGATAGATAGATAGATAGATAGAAATAGAGGGGATAGATAGAAATAGAGGAGATAGAGAGATAGATAGATAGATAGATAGATAGATAGATAGATAGATAGATAGATAGATAGATAGATAGATTAGTATAACCAACAAAGCTTAGTTATATATTACCGCAGGCCCATAAATCAACAGCCTTTCCATAGGGATCTTTCCTTAGCACTTCTGGGGAGAGGTAGCCCGGCGTTCCAGCAAATCCTTTCATTAAAACAAAAAAAACCCAAGTTGTGATATTTCTAAAGAATAGAAAACTGTGTGACAGAAAACAACAGTGTCTACCAATAACATATTTTACCATGATATATCAATCTTATTAAGGGCTACATTGCATTTCACTGAAGCTGTACAAATGATTATCACTCTTGACTTGCAGCTTTGAGTTCATTTCTCACCAGGGTTAGATATTTCTGCAGGTTTGTAGAGATAGTCTTGGAGAGATTATTCTGCTTTTCCCATTGCTGTTTGAGTTTCTCTAAGTGTTGTGGTTTTTAAAAAATATATAATATTTTAAATCAACTTTCCAGCAGCATTTGCTCTACTGTGTACTTCTATATGGCGGCATAGTACTGCTCAAATAATTGGTGCCATATGAACAAACCAAGAATTGCATGTTGTTCAGGTGGTAGCTAGTGGTAAGAAATTTGAGTAATGCATAACACTGAACTGGTTGCTGTTGCTAGTTTTCGAACCGGTGCTTGTTGGCTAATCTTAATAGTGGCTTTCCAATATATATATAGGTTTTCAAGTAGAAGTAACTAATTTTAAACCAGAAGTTCACTTATCTGTCTAAGATGTTGATGTGTGTGTTTCTCATAGCAATGGCAGTTTTTAGGTTTACAGAAGTAGTTAAGTGCAGCACCTTGCGTTCCATGCAGCACCTCTGCTAGACTTTAGGTGAAACCTGTGTAAGAACTTGGTGGTACAAAAAAGTCATAATCACTTTAGAAATTCTTATTCACTTTTAATGATCCAGAAGTTAGAGAGTGTTTAAGGAAATCTATACTGAAAGAATATTGAGGCTCCAGTTGTCTATTTGTCACACACAGTTTGAGTTGTGTTTAGTTCTTTCTGATGCATTGGAGCAAGTACGCAGATAAGACTAACTTTCCAGTCTGCATACTTGAAAGTCATAAAGTGAGAGCCTAACAGAAAACTAGTATTCTCGGAATGAGGTAGGAGAGCAGAAAAGCAGGTAATTCCTATTAGTTGCTGCCAAATTATTATTATTATTATTACATCGAGTTTATATAGTTGCAAAGGGTTTGCTCAGCGCTGTACAATAGAGGGGGGGACAATACATGAAACAGTACAACAACAACAAACAGCACACGAGGGCCCTACTCTTTCGAGTTTACAATCTAGGAGGGATGAACATAAAATCCCCAATAAACAAACATGTTCTAACTCCTTGCTCTGAAATAAACTACAGAGAATTAAAATGTGAATGTTTTTTGGGGTTTTATATTCCTGAGGCAGCTATAAACATTCTTAATCTACTCCTTGCTCTTTCTGGGATCAATTCTTGAATGGTGGTTCTGCCAATGTCAAAAACAGGACTGATACAGTGGGGGGAAGAGATTCAAATGTAAAGCCACAACTCTCTGTATAATTTTGGATAGAACGTGGAAAGATTAGAAACCCTGTCTGGTCTCCACTACACAAAGTGATGGGAAATTTATCAGTTTTGAGTTGTCACAGGAAAAAGACAATGGCAGATTTTCCATTGGGTAAATCTGTTGTTGTGATATCTGTCTAAAATAGGAGATCTACTGTTACTTCCTGCTGTGACTTGACGACAGGAAATTAAGAGTAATCTCCCCGATGGGCACAGACAAAAACAAGAAAATTGACAATGGTCTTAGCCATTTCCACCTTTATCCAAAACGAAAAAGTTGTTGGCTTTCTACACATTTTAATATTAAGGTAGTCTGATTGGCTCAATCTAACACACTGGAAATGTAATTGTTGGGAATCTACAATAGATTTTGAAAGAACGTATGAAGTTCTCAGATAAGTGAATAATAATTAAAATAATGATAATAGTGGCTTTGCTCACAATCTCCTAGATTGTAAGCTCCAAGGAGCAGGGCCCTCCTATCCCTCTTGTATTGAACTGTATTGTTGCTGTATTGTCTCCCGTTATATTGTAAAGCACTGAGCAAACTGTTGGCGCTATATAAATCCTGTATAATAATAATCATAATGCTCACTCCTCCACTGTATCTATGGAGGGAACCATTGTTGTCACCCAGGCTGGACTATAAAAATGTCTGTCTTTGTTCATTTGCTTTACATGGCAGTGGGCAATTAGAAGTTTACTTAGAAAGATAACATTATCATTGCTTTTAGTTCAGCTCACAGGAGGTGACAAGATCAGAAGGTACTTGCTGAAAATGCTTCTAAAGAGAAAACTGATGCAGCCATCACATCTAAAGACTGGTAAGCTACAGAATTTTGCATTTTTGTTCTTGGGTTTAGTTATCCTTTCAGGTACTGCTTCCAGCAAAGGATTACCAGGTTGATACTAAAGTTGCAATCATGCAAAATAACTAAATTTGCTCTCTACAATAATTGATGGAATTTAAATAAATAGGAGATGGAATCAAGTACAAAAATATCTTACACAGTACAATTTACCTGCCTCACTTCAATTTTGCCCCTGGACAAATTAATCTGATCCGATAACATTTTCCATTCTGCTGTACAGTATATTTATGCTTTTCTTTTAGGCTGAAAGGTATCTTGTTGCGCTCCATACCAGCACCACATGTTTTATGTAATAATTCAATCTGGAGATTTATGTCTGTATTATTATAATGTCACTTCAATATGCATAACATATTCTGCCATGCAATGCTCTAGGAGCCCACTTTATATAAATCATGTATGATAAGAGGCAGCCAAGAGCTCCTGCATGCTCTTTCAAAATGTTGTACATATTAATATAACATATTTTATTGCAAAAGCTTCTATCATTGTTATACTACTTTTTTTGCATTTTCTCCTATATTTAAAGCAAAACTGTAGGCGGATATAAAGGGCTATATATTTACTAAACAAAAGAAAAACCTTACTAAAAAGCATATGCACACTCAAAGACTCAATGTCATATACAGTGCCTTGAAAAAATAATCATACCCTCTTGAAATATTCCACATTTTGTCATGTTACAAACAAAAATGTAAATTTATTCTTATGGGATTTTATGTGATAGACCAACACAAAGTGGCACATAATTGTGAAGTGGAAGGAAAATTATAACTGGTTTTCTAAAATTTTTACAAATAAATATCTGAATAGTGTGCCATACCCCTAACGAAAATGTAGTAGAACCAATTACCTTCAGAAGTCACCTAATTAGTAAATAGTCCACCTTTGTGTAATTTAATCAGCAAAATGCTATGTGTGGCAGAAAACTAACACTGCACATCACCCTGAACACACCATCCCCACCGTGAAACATGGTGGTGGCAGCATCATGTTGTGGGGATGCTTTTCTTCAGCAGGGACAGGGAAGCTGATCAGAGTTGATGGGAAGATGGATGGACCAAATACAGGGCAATCTTAGAAGAAAATCTGTTGGAGTCTGCAAAAGACTTGAGATTGGGGCTGAGGTTCACCTTCCAGCAGGACAACGACCCTAAACATACAGCCAGAGCTACAATGGAATGGTTTGGATCAAAGCATATTCATGTGTTAGAATGGCCCAGTCAAAGTCCAGACCTAAATCCAATTGAGAATCTTTGGCAAGACTTGAAAATTGCTGTTCTCAGACACTCTCCATCCAATCTGACAGAGCTTGAGCTATTTTGCAAAGAAGAATGGGCAAAATGTTCACTCTCTAGATGTGCAAAGCTGGTAGAGACATCCCCAAAAGACTTGCAGCTTTAATTTCAGCGCAAGGTGGTTCTACAAAGTATTGACTCAGGGGGGCTGAATACAAATGCACGCCACACTTTTCAAATATTTACTTGTAAAAAATTTTTGAAAACCATTTATTATTTTCCTTCCACTTCACAATTATGTGCCACTTTGTGTTGGTCTATCACATAAAATTTCAATAAAATACGTTGTTGGTTGTAACATGACAAAATGTGGAACATTTCAAAGGGTGAGAATACTTTTTCAAGGCACAGTAAAGTTTAAAGCTGATGTGTAATATATATATATATATATATATATATATATATATATATATATAATTTTTTTTTTGGGGGGGGAGGGTTTGATACAAAACCAAATACGTTAGGTATGTGTAATAGAAGGGGTGGGTAAGCACCACATTGTTTCCCAGTAGCAACAGCTGCTCTTAACCATTAGCCTACAGGGGACTTATACCCCCTTCCTGCCCAGGCCAATTTTCAGCTTTCAGCGCTCTCACAATGACAATTGTGCTGTCATGCAACACTGTACCCATATGAAATTTTTATAATTATTTTGAGACAGATATAGCTTTCTTTTGGTGTTATTTAATCACCTGTAGATTTTTTATTTTTTGCTAAACAAACCAAAAACCACTGAAAATGTTGAAAACAAAAAGTTTTTTCTTAGTTTTTGTTATACAATTTTGTAAATAAGTGATTTTGTCTCTTTCACTGATGTGCGCTAATGACGCTGCAGTGATGGGCACTGATAGGCTGCACTAATGGACACTGATAGGTGGCACTGATGGGCACTGATGAGGAGGCACTGGTAGGTGGTACTGATGGGCATTGACAGGCATCACTGATGGGCACTGAAAGGCGGAACTCATATGGCACTGATAGGCAACACTGATAGGTGGCACTGATAGGCGGCACTGACTGGCACTGATAGGTGGCACTGACTGGCACTGATAGGTGGCACTGATAGGCAGCACTGACGGGCACTGATAGGCGGCACTGACTGGCACTGATAGACGGCACTGACTGACACTGATAGGCGGCACTGATTGGCAGCACTGATAGGTGGCACTGGCATTGATAGGTGGCACTGACTGGCACTGATAGGTGGCACTGAAAGGCAGCTCAGATGGGCACTGATATGTGTTATTGATGTGCACTGGTAGGCACTGATTTGTGGCATTGATGAGGCACTGATGGGCACTGACAGCTGGCACTAATGGACACTGACAGGTGGCACTGCTGGGGCTACATTGATCATCAGGGCACACTGATCATCAGTGCCCTGATGATCAGTGCACATGTCCCCTCTGACGAATGCTGATAACTGGCTCTCCTCTCGAGCTGTCAGCGTGGCAGTTCGTAAGGAAAGAAATGCCGATAACCGGCATTTCTCTATTTACATGCAATCAGCTGTGATTGGACACAGCAGATCACATGACCTAGTCGACATCTTCGGCTCTTTCCGTTGATCGGTGATCTGCTGTGTCTGAGGGACACAGCGCACCACCGATCGCTGCGCTACGTGCCCCGGAGCCGCGCATGCGCGGTTAGAATGGGAGGACGACATATGACGTCCTCCCAGAACAATAGAACCGGCTTGCGCCCATCATTACCTTATATGGCGGGCACGAGGCGATTAAAGTTATGGTAACCCCCCCAAAAAAAAAATATTAATACTTTCCCCCTGCAAGGTAATATCATAAAACAGTAATTTAGTATGAATTGTATACTAGCACAATATGAGAGACTTTCCTTAAAACAAAGCCCTCCAGGCCTTCATTTGTCACCTGGTCTTCCTTCTGTGTTCTCGGGCTCTGGACGTTTGAATGGCTGAGCAGCGATTACGCCACTCCCATGCATGTGCACAGGAGTATGCCGTCCCTTCAGAGTGCAAATGCATACTCACAAGCCAAAAAAGTAATAAAAACAGAACAAGGAGTCAAAAGATGCCAATCATGAGCAACATAGGTCCTTGGGTAAAGTGCTAACGCATTTTGGGAGCTGAACTCCCTTCCTCAGAGCAATTGATCATTGAGTGTCCCCATCCAGAGGAGCAGTGCAATCTGAAGTGGACAAGAGTACGGTGAGTGTGTGCTTAGGGCACACCATGTCATAAAGCGGAGTTCCACTCACGCTGTCAAAAAATAAAAGTCAGCAGCTACATAAACTGTAGCTGTTGACCTTTAAAAAACAGCCACTTACCTGTCCCTCGGTCTCGCGGTGTGTCCCCCACAGCTCGTTTCACCGGCCATCCTGTATTCCAGGAGGCCGGCATCTTCAGTGTGGGCACCCGGCTGTGATAGCTTGCGGCTTCACAGCTGGGTTCCCACTGCGCATGTGCGAGTAGCGCTGCACTTCATGATTGGTCCTGTAGTCTTCTGGGACCTGTCATGTCCCAAAAGACTACAGAGAGGGAGGGAGGACACCTTCCGCTTCTGGTCGCTTAGGCAATCGAACCGGAAGTGGGGGTGGGTACCTGTCAAATTCGGGTACCCGCTCCCCCCCCGCCTCCCAAAGGTGCCAATCCTTAATGGGGAGTGGGGGAGCAGTACTTAAAGCGAAACTTCCCCTTTTGGGTGGAGCTCCGCTTTAAACACACTGTATGTGCAGGTATGTGAGTAAAGTGGAGAACTTAGAGGGCTGTGGGCTGTAAGAATGGCTGGTGGTATACATGAACTAGCCCTGCTATGGGCAGACCCTGGTGGAGTACATGTGGGTGATTGAGTTACCTGCTTACATGTGGGCAATGGGCAATGGGCAGACATTGTGATTTGTTTCATCATGAATCGAAATTTGGATGAAATTTTCGTTATCCGGAGATTCGTTTGTATCCAAATTTCTGAATCACAATAGTAACGAATTTCAATGAATCCGAAATAAGTTATAACTAAACAAATTAGCTAAATTCGATAATGGGTGGACCCTGGTGGAGTATACCTGCCTACATGTGGACAATAGGTAGACATTGAGATTTGTTCTATAATGAATCGAAATATGGATGGAATTTTCGTTATCCGAAGATTCAATGTATTCAAATTTCTGAATCACAATAGTAACGAATTTCAATGAATCTGAAATAAATTCTAACAAAACAAATTATCTAAATTCGATAATGGGTAGACCCTGGTGGACTACATGTAAGTGATTGAGTCACTCGCCTACATGTGGGTAATGGGTAGACATTGAGATTTGTTTAGTTATGAATCGAACTTCAGATTACATTTTTTTAACTGGAGATTCAGATGTATCCAAATTTCTGAATCACAATAGTAACAAATTTCATTGAATCCAAATTAAATAATAACAAAACAAATTATCTAAATTCAATAATGGGTGGACCCTGGTGGACTACATGTGAGTGATTGAGTCACCCTCCTACATGTGGGTAAAGGGTAGACATTGAGGTTTGTTTCATTATGAATCGAAATTAGGATTACATTTTTTTTATCCGGAGATTCAGATGTATCGGAATTTCTGAATCACAATAGTAAGAAATTTCAATGAATCCAAAATAAATAATAACAAAACAAATGATCTGATTTTGAATTCAAAATGGGAAAGCTATTGCAATAAATACAGTAAGGTATAAAAGTGAAATAAGATGGTGATTCCTATTTAGCCTGCTTTAAAGAATAGAACAGAAAATAGTAAAACAGAATCTAAAAGAAAATAATAGAAAATTTAAAAGAATAGAAAGGAATAGAATAAAACAAAATAGAATGAATTAGAAAATAAAATAATAGAATAGAACAAAAGCAGCACAGTGGCTAAATGGTTAGCACTTCCGCCTGGCAGTACTAAAATCGTTGGTTCGAATCCCAGCCAGGGCACCTCCTGCCTGGAGTTTGCATGTTCTCCCTGTGCCTGTGTGGGTTTCCTCCGGGTATTCCGGTTTCCTCCCACCCTCCAAAGACATGCTGGTAGGTTAATTGGCTCCTGTCTAAATTGGCCCTAGTATGTGTATGTATGAATGGAAGTTAGCAACCTTAGATTGTACACCCCTTGAGGGTTAGGGACTGATGTGAATATACAATATATATATAAAGCGCTGCATAAATTGACAGTGCTATAAAAGTACCTGAAATAAATAATGAATAAAATAGAAAAAAAACCCAGAACAGATTAAAATAGAACAAATATAGCCGTCTTCTGAAATTTCAATTTTGATATTTAAATTCAAAGTTCAAATTGATTTAAAAAGAAACAAATATTACAAAACTAAATTACTAACTTAACAAACAAATAGGAAACAAAACAAATTTTTCTGTTGTGCACGTTTACAGTAATGGGATATACTGTATACCATTACACATAACTAATGTGCTATAGCCTGACAAAAACCACTAAACTTTAGCTGTAGGGTGTTCATGTAATGTAATTTCAAAAGTAATCTTCAATATTATTAAATTTTGCAGCTTTCATTAAAATAACGCCTGGTGCCATGACTGTTCTTGTTCAGACACTTCCTGTTGTAAGGTGTCAATGCACTGTTCTCATCTAACAATTGTGTTGTCACCCTGGAACACAAGTTTCCAATAGACTACAAGTGGGTATTTCAACACACATTAAGCAGGCGTGGTCCACTGTTGTCACTATCAGGAAACTTGCCCAGAGAAGTGCCAGAACTGGAATAATGCATGCATGTAGACAGGAAGTGGCTGCAAAGTGACTGCAAGGGATCAATAGCACTGAGATGCAATAAAGAATGTAAAAAGAGGAATACAAATATTTTATTTAAAAAAAAGTAAATTGTTTAGGATATATGGTGTGATAGGAAACTAGGATCAACTTAAAAAAAAAAAAGAAAAAAAAGTTATATATACAGTATGCAATATATACACACACACACAATGAGGATAGCAAGTGTGTATAATAATGCAACATATAATAGTGATAAAATAGAAATATGTTATAGAATTGAAATAAAACCTGTGTGTAAACATCATGTTGTCTTCCTTTGTGCACCATTGATCAGAAACCTTCTCAAAGTTCAGTATAGGTTAGACTGAAAGGGTTTGTAGAAGATGGAATAAACTCATAGCTAATCTTGGGAAGGTGGTTTATTATTCTGCAGCCAACGTGGGTTTAAAATGTATTTCTGAATACAGAGTTCAAAGCCACAGTTTTTTATGCAATTTAATATTACCCTGCCACAGTGCCTTTCATAGAAAGTCTGACAGAGGGGGTCAAAGTTTTATTGACAAATTGCAGTTTACTGTATTGCACACTGGTGTTAATATAACACAGGGAACTTATTTACAGACCGCAGGGATGAACTAAAAATGTTATGCTGGTGGTCAAGCACCTGCTGGGGAAGGTGTATGACCAAGCTGTACTATTTACTTGCTGTGAAGAAAACTGAGGTCAGAGGTCTGAGCTTATTGCCAAGTCTGAATCCCAAGACTGGTGGAAAAGCATTCCTAATCTTTTGGAAGGTGACAGTTTACACATACATATCACAAATGTGAATTTGGCTGTTTGTCTAATTCTGAACTCTGAAATGGAGGAAACATATTTTTGCTTTTTGCATTTAGTGAATATTTTATGTTGTGTGTCTTTCTGAGAATACTGCAATTGAAACACATGGAGTCAACCTTTGATAGCTGATGAAGTACTGAAATAGATTCTTTTTTACAGAACTTTTGTTTTTTTGTTGTTTTTAATTTATCATATAATTTTTACAGTGTGACAGATACTCTTTGTCTGAAAAATAGACAAGCTTGGGTACTTGAAGATATTTTAATTCAAAAGACTTACCAAACCATGCCTGTTGCTCGCCTTCCACTTCGATAGCCAAACCAAAATCTGCCAATTTCACAGCTGCGCCTTTTAGCTTCGAGGCCAACAACAGGTTTTCTGGCTGCAGATAAGAAGAGAGGCTTCATCAGAATTAACATACAACGTCAACATTATTGAAGAAGGGGGCACGTCCCCAGAAACACATCAGCTGGTAATATGACATCCATTTGAACCAGAAGACTTCCATTGTGTGCAAGGCGCTTTAGTTCCTTGGTTTACGTACTATGTTGTTACTACTTTTGCTTTTGTTAGTATGTACTCTTTGTCAGGGCTGTCTTTAATATTGATTGGACCCTGGGCAAACATTTTTTTAGGGACCCCCTAGCTGCCACCCCCCCCAGGACCCTACTCTGAGACATACAGTAAATAGCAGCTAGACTCAAAATCAGTTTACTGCAGGAGATCAGGCAGCACAATAAACATGTTATACTTGCCTGCTCTGTGCAATGGTTTTGCACAGAGCAGCCCCCGGTCCTCCTCTTCTGGGGTCCCCCCCCGCCTGCATTCCTAGCTCCTCTCCCTTTCTGAGGGCCCCCACAGAAAGCAACCTGTTATGGGAGCACTTGTGCAGGTTCAATCGCAAGCCTGCTGCCCTCTCCTGGTGGAGCGCCCAGGCAAGGACGTTGACCTGAATAGGAAAGATAAGGAGGTGGTCCTTGTTCTCCCTATAGTCGCCTCCACCTGCACTCTCAAGGGCTGTCCAGCAAAGCCCCCAGTGGGGTCTGCTGAGAAACACACTCTGGAGGAGTGGGCCCAAATCCAGCAAGAGGACCCTGACCTCATGCAGGTGCAATGCTTCTTAGCCCATCTACGCAAACCATCTTCACAGGAATGGCAGAGACTTTCCTACACCCCCAGAGCAGTCCTAAAGCAGTGGGATCCCCCTGAGTCAATGTTCTTTACCAGCAGGCCCATATTGCCACAGAGCAGAAAGACATGTTACAGATTGTGGCTCCACAGTCGCACAGACTCTGGAGCAGCAGTGCAGCTGAAGGGAGAAGCTAAGAGAAACTTGGGTTCTCTATGATTCCCTTGGTTGCCTGGAGCAGTGTTCTGCTGCATCAGGTGACACATCTTGTGTCATGCAGAGTCTTTTTAAGTCTCTGCCCCCAGGTTTTGGCGTGCATTTTGTGAAGTGGCTAGTGTAAGGAAGCATACCAGGGACAGGGTCAGGGACAGCACTAGTGGTAGAGACAGGTTCCAGAGGAATAGGGACAGCTCACGGCCAATGTCTACTCTTCAGCAAGCTCCCTTTTGGGTTGGATCGGCCAGGCCGCATTCCACCTACCTTGGCATGCACTGTCTGCGGTTTGGGTCTGCTAATGATGACTCTCCGCTGCATTGACTCTAAGTTCTTGCTAATGATGACCTTACCCGCTGGGTGTTGTACTGATTGTCTTCAGTACATTGGTTACTTACTGCACTCTGGGCTTCTGTGTGTTTACTGCCACACTGCACCTATCCAACACGTGTTTTTACATTTTTTTTAAAGGATACAGAGCTACTGTGAAAAAAGGTAGCTCTTGAACAGATTGTAAGTAACGACTGCTAATATCAATTGGACAGTCTATTTTTATTTTAACCACTAACCTAAGTTAACAGCTGGTGATACTGATGTAAAGGTTCTTTTATGGGTACTTTGTGTTACGGGTTGACACTGACAGTGTACTTCCCTTGTTTCCCACACTATCCAGTAAATCTCCCTGTCACATGCACCCCCAAAGGAAACTATAAGCTTCTATGCTGATGCACATTGCTCAGGCATATGCCACTGTTAACACCATTTTAAAAATATGCTGGACGCAGGCTTCATTCTATGGAAAAGATTTATTGATGACAATCTTTATTTCAGCGTTTTTCAACCACTGTGCCGCGGCACACTAGTGTGCCGTGAGATATTGTCTGGTGTGCCGTGGGAAAAATTCCAATTTCATCTGTAACATGTGGCTTCGGCTCACAAATAGACCAATCATTAGAATCTAATGATTCCAGTGGTCGGCAAGCCGCGGCTCGCGAGCCACATGCGGCTCTTTACCCAGTCTAATGCGGCTCTTCTGTGTGCCGGGCGCCTGCTCCCCTCCCTCCTCTCGGTCGGACCCGCTCCCCTGCCTCCTCTCGGTTGGCAGCCCCAAAAGTCCGCGCGGACCTTTTAATCCGGCTTGCGGATGTGGCTGTCAGGATGTGTGTAGGCGGGGCAGCGTGCCGAACGTGAGGGGAGGGGAGCTAGGCTCCTCTCACAGTCCGCCCTGAAGACCCGAACGGCGCGGGAAGACAGCGAGAGGAACGCAAAAGGTAAGTGAATTGACACGGGGGACTTGGCTTACTAGAAGGGGGGGGGGGGGAATAGTACTGTGGGGGATGAAATACTATATGAGGGATGAATTACTTTATGAGGGATGAAATACTATATGGGGGGATGAAATACTATATGGGGGATGAATTACTATATCAGGGATGAATTACTATATGAGGGATGAAATACTATATGGGGGGATGAAATACTATATGGGGGGATGAAATACTATATGGGGGGATGAATTACTATATGAGGGATGAAATACTATATGGGGGGATGAAATACTATATGAGGGATGAAATACTATATGGGGGATGAATTACTATATGAGGGATGAATTACTGTATGAGGGATGAAATACTATATGGGGGGATGAAATAATTATAAAATAATTTCTTTGTGTTTGATTACTATTCAAGAGAATTACTTTATATATAGTCAATATAGGCACAGAGGTAATTTTTTTTAACATTTTCTAATGGTGGTGTGCCTCGTGATTTTTTTCATGAAAAAAGTGTGCCTTTGCACAAAAAAGGTTGAAAAACACTGCTTTATTTGGAAGAGATCACGTTATGAGCTTGATCCCTTTATAAGTGGAAGGATAATGATTACAATTACAATCTGCAGTTCACTCTGACGATTAGTGACACAAGAGTCAATTTCCTTGATCTGGACATCTTTGTCAAGGGAGAGTCCCATTCTGATTAAAACTTATGGAAAGAAGGTGGATTGTAATAGCTATCTAGTTGTCATTTAACTAAATGGCTATTAAATGGTCCTAAGAGACAGTGTATGTGTCTTCAATGGAACTATAGTCAAATTGAGGTCTACAAAGAAGAGGCAGTGTTACCAATGGCACATTTTGAAGGAAAGGATTATGAGATGGCAGAGTTAGAACTTGAGACCCAAAAGACAGAGGAAATGTCTAGAGAAGCAACACTATAGGAGAGGGTTAAAGGCGATGAAGGAAATGAGATGGATTTTACTATCCTGTTGATATACCACACACAATTACCACTTGTGAGGAGAATCATTTCCAGACAGTGGGACATACTAAGGAAGGGAAAAATACTTGTGTCCTTATTACCAACTAAGCCTCAATTTATGTTTAAAAATCCAAAAACCATGGTCTACAGCTCAGAATGCAAAGGGCTTTATTTACTAAAGTTGGAGAGTGCAAAATCAAGCTCACTTCAGCATAGAAACCAGTCAGCTTACGGGTTTTATTGCCAAAGGTTAGAAGCTGATTGGTTTCCTTGCAGAAGTGAGCCTGATTTTGCACTCTCCAGCTTTAGTAAATAAACCCCCAAAGAGCCTGATGACATAAAAACATCCAGAAAATCTAAAAAGGATTGGTAAGATGCCACGCCTGTATGGCATATAAAAACATGAAAGTGAGAAAACTGAAGGAGTTTGAATCCCCTCAGGCACAAAAGAATAATAAGGTCAACACATTCTTAACTTGCAATACTAAAGGTGTCACTTTGCAATAAGCTATATATTGTAATAACAAAACAAGAATTGAGAATTCATATAAAAGAGCACTTCTGCAATATGTTAAAAGGCAGTGATAAGCACCCCCTTTTGAAACACTTTAAACAGCATCACAGTCAGAGTCTGAAAGGAACATCCTTTTGGGAAATTGAAAGTATTAAGAGAGACTGGAGAGGCGACAAGTGGATTTTTGAATTAGATACGTTGGTACCTGCAGGCCTCAGTGATGACATTGAGCTGTTTGCTTTTAATTAATCAATTAAAATTTTTTACATTTTCTGAGACACTATAAAAGTTTGCTGCAGATATATACTGTGGATATAAAAAGTCTACACACCCCTGTTAAAATGTCAGGTTTCTGTGATGTAAAAAAATTAGACAAAGATAAATCATTTCAGATCTTTTTCCACCTTTAATGTGACCTATAAACTGTACAACTTGATTGAAAAATAAACGGAAATCTTTTAGGGGGGGAAGTAAACTTAAAAAACTAAAATAATGTGGTTGCATAAGTGTGGGATCTGTGGATGTAGCTGTGTTCAGAATTAAGCAATGACATTCAAAATCATGTTAAATGGGAGTCAGTACACACCTGCCATCATTTAAAGTGCCTCTGATTAACCCCAAATAAAGTTCAGCTATTCTAGTAGGTCTTTCCTGACATTTTCTTAGTCGCATCCTACAGCAAAAGTCGTGGCCGGCAGAGAGCTTCCAAAGCATCAGAGGTATCTCATTGTTAAAAGGTATCAGTCAGGAAAAGGATACAAAAGAATTTCCAAGGTATTAGACATAATATGGAACACAGTGAAGTAGTCATCATCAAGTGGAGAAAAATATGGTGCAACAGTGACATTATCAAGAACTGGACATCCCTCCAAAATTGATGAAAAGATGAGAAGAAAACTGGTCTGGGAGGCTGCCAAGAGGCCCACAGCAACATTAAAGGAGCTGCAGGAATATCTGGCAAGTACTGGCTGTGTGGTACATGTGACAACAATCTCCCGTATTCTTCATATACAGTTGTGTCCAAAATTATTCAACCCCCAATGCTGTAAAGGGGTTTAGGGACTATAGTGTACATTTGGAATTGTATTCAGAATCAAATCCTACAAGGACGTTGTAACTACCCAAATGCAACTAAAATTACATCAATTGTTTATGTAATACAGTAGTAAATGGTTCTTATGTGGTTTCTTCATTGCCACAATTATTCAACCCCTTAAAGACTACCACTCTGAAGAACAGAGGTTCATACAGGTGCTTTCCATCAG